TTTGTACCAACTGGACAGTTAACCAAGTTTACTATTTGGAAATGCTGAAAAGGTTGCATGAAAAAGTTAGACGACCTGAACTTTTCGCCAACAATTCATGGCGCTTGCATCACAATGCACCAGCTCACAGGGCACTGTCTGTGAGGGAGTTTTTAGCCAGTAAACAAATAACTGTATGGGAACTCCCTCCCTACTCACCTGATCTGGCCCCCAATGACTTCTTTCTTTACCCAAAGATAAAGAAAATATTGAAAGGAAGACATTTTGATGACATTCAGGACATCAAGGGTAATACGACAACAGCTCTGATGGCCATACCAGAAAAAGTTCCAAAATTGCTTGGAAGGGTGGACTAGGCACTGGCGTCGGTGCATAGCTTCCCAAGGGAAGTACTTCGAAGGTGACTGTAATGATATTCAGCAATGAGGTATGTAGCACTTTTTCTAGGATGAGTTCACAAACTTGTTGGACCTCGTATATGTGAACACCATGGTTTATACTTATTTTTAGTTCTCCATACATTGATCCTTGTTTTATTTTTGTCTTCTTTTCACTAAAGGCCCAAGTATAGAAAACAGGGTTTATACATGAATACAAGGGAAAATTAAATAAGTGCCACTTTTTATTTCTGTTTTATAAATTACTCAACTTATATTAAGAAGTCTTCGTATTTACAAAGAAACAGTAGATTAAAGTCAGAGGAGACTTTAATCAACATCTAAATACTCTGTTTTATAGAAACAAAAAAAAAACCCTGAGGCCCATAGAGGTTAAAAGGATTGATCAGAATCAATGAGCTATTTTGCATCAGAACTAAAATCTAGAACTCAGCTTTCCAATTCCCAGGCCAGTGTTTTTTTCAACCACATGGACCATTTAAAATCATTAGAGCTTAGCTCTGCTAGATAAGAATTAGTTTATCTGTCCCAGAAATTTCTAAGCCCAACTGTCCCTAATGAGTTGTTTTGCTTACACAGACTTCTATTGGAGAAAAGGCCTAAGTAACAACCTACAGGTTGATGGCGTGGTTTTACTGTCACAAACTAGGAATGGTCTCAGTAGACTATCTTATCCTTCCTAATTAACTATTTTCAGAAAGAATGGCCTAAAATAACAACTCTAAAATTGAAACCATTATTTCTTGGGATGGCATCCAGAATTTATTTAGTTCAATGCCAACTCATTTTGTTTGATCATTTTGTCACATAGGGGTACATTTTGCAACTTCTGAATAACAGGTTTTCCAGAAAGATACTCCTCAAAATCATTTCATGAGTACATTATAGATGTTTTTCTGTGCCTATGGTGGTGGTTAATGGGTACTTTCTGCACTGAACTATTTCCAGTCCCACCATCTTAGCCTTGTTTAGGAGGCATAGGATTTCGGAGTCTTCATCTTTGTACCAGTTAAGGCTTTTATGTAACAAGTGATAGAAAACCCATTCTCACGTAAGCAAAAATGGTTCACAAAGTCCACAAGCGTAGTTCTGATTTGAGACACGGCTGCATCAGGACACATGACGTAATCAGGGCTCATTTCTGATTCTTCTTCTGCCTTCTGCTGACCTGGGTGTCATGTGGTAACTATAATAGATGGCCACGTCAGCTCAGCCACCACATCCTCTCAGCATCAAGCCTCTTTCCAAAAATCGGTGGTAAAAATATCTGGCCACGTATCCATCTGAGTCAGTCATGAGGGCCAACCAATATGATGTACACACACTCCATCCCAAGTCAGATGTGGTCAGCGACACCAGAACCACGTGGACCAAGAGCTGGGAACAGAATGATTCCTCAGAGGGAAACCTGAGGGTGAATATCAGGGGGCAACTGAATGAAGTAAAAATAACAGATGTCAATCACACCATCCCTGTAGTCATGTGCTAAAAGTCTTGGCATCTTAAGAAAAATCCTAGCTGCCCTTAGGTCTGCTCCATCAAGCCAGATCAGAGAGCTATCTCCCAGCCTGAAAAGAGGTTGTCCTTTGCAGAATCACTTTTACCGAATTGTATTGCACTGGGATTTTCCACTGAATCTAAGGTGCAGCAGCCCTCTGCAGCTTGTAACATATGTAAACCTGTAGTTTGTTGGCTTGCACACAAAGGATCAAGTTCACACATGTATTAGCATAAGCAAAAGTGCTTACTTAGCTTCAAGGATTTGGGCAGAGGTGTGGAGAGCTCCACGAGGAAGGAGACTCAGCTGCCAGGGGAGTCCATCACGTTGGCCTGAAAAACATGCATGGCTATGAAACTAGACAAGTTGGGGAGAGCCTCCTGAGGTCGGCCAGGGGCTTTCTAGATAGGACGACTGTATGCTTCAATTGGACACGTCTGAGAATGAAAGGGGGTGTTCGTGGGCATAACCTGGAACTCTGCCAGGCAAACGGGGCATATTTCTAGGTGGCTCCAGGGAACCTGGTGTAATAATGCTCATCTGAACATATTCAGTCTCAGGTACATATTCCATGCTCACACAGGACATCTGAATAGGTCCAACTCATTTATAGGTTTGGACAACCGTCCTTATGGAGTTCGATGTTGGCGCACACCCAGAATATCTGTCATTGTGTTTATTATCAGAAGGCTTCACGGTATCATTTTTATAAGAGGATCCTTGTGAGAAATTCTTATCTGATCTTATACCGAGGATTGTTCTTCCTATACTTGGATTTACTTTGATCTTAGAGACATTATGAATGGTTGGTCTGACCAGGTTTCTCCTTCTGCCTTGGCTACTGAGAAACTTTCATGTGTGGCCTACCCAAAGTAACAGTGTTGGTCACTGTGGCATGCGCTTGTGGCCTCATTCCATTTTGTATCCCCCACGCTTTGGGTTTCTTTCATGTAACTTTTCATGTACATGACCTTGTACTTAGGTTTTCTTGTTAGTCACTTTAAATCTCATGTAAAACAGAGATACTCCCAGCCTAACTGCCTACAGCTATGGGGAGGCCATTTCTTCAATTGGCTCCTTAAGTTTTTCAAGACAATGTTGACCCTGCAGTCTGATTCGATTGACCTTGAAATTGCATGGATCTCCAATTCAAACAAATCAGGGAGAAAAAAAAAAACCTGAATTTGAATACTATTTATTTGATGATATTGAGACATTTTTGTCAAAGTTGCGTAGGTATGATCATGGTAGTGTGGTTATCTTTTATTCAAAGTGAACTTTTAATCTTTTAGATATATACCAAAATATTTACAGCCTCTTCTATAATGGCCAAGTCTGACATTAGACAGATAGAGAAATATAATTCTCTCCTAGGGAGTGGCAGCAAACATTTTTGAGCCAAATAGTCTGCCACACCCACCCTCCTCCTCTCTCTCCCCCGGGAGTGGGACCAATAACATTTTAAATGAGGCCCCAGCTGACTCTGATGCAGGTGGCTCTCAGATCTCACCGTGGAAAAACTGTGCCCTGTAGTGAGTGATACTCTCCAGAGGAGTGCCAGAAAAGCTTTGCTTACTCTGAGATACCGGGACATTTTCGTAGGATTCCATACACCTCTTGTTCTTATTTCTAATCGCTGACAACAACTCTCAGAGAATAGATTGGAGTCCTGCTCCACAAAAAGAGGACTCTGTGGTTAGGTAAGCTTGTGATAGGCCACATACCTGCCCTCCTCTGAGAAAGTCAATGTGATCATGACCTCATTCAAAAGTCTGAGTCGTCCTTCAGTCAAGAATCCTATTTAAATGTATTTGATCCATCATTTCCCAAACCAAACACAGAACCTTTTTTATGACTGGCTATTAATAGTTCCATAGAACAGTAAGTTGACATTTCAAAGGTACCTGTATTTGTTCATGAGGTTAAAATTTATTATTTCAAGTCACAATTGCATTTACTGCCATTTCTCGAGGTACACCTGCTAATGCCTCCATACTCCCTGTAAAGAAACAGTAATAAAGCAGATCACTGAACTTAGAATCTGCAAATTTGTGTTTAAATGCTTGTGTCACCATTTACCAGCCTTGTGACCTTGAATATGCTACTTAACCTGAGCTTCAGTTTCTTCACCTGAAAATTGAGAATAACAGCTGCGGAATCACTACATTGTTGTGAGGGTCAAAGAGAAGACATAGGAAATTATCCACACCTGGAAATGGTTTCAAATAGCATTATGTTTCTTCAAGGCGTAGGCCCGAGTTGTTCACAACCAGACTTGAACCAGTTGTCTGGGCTGCAAAGCAGCCCAGATCATAATACTAACCCCACAAATAACCTGCTGACCACAGGGGAGTCCTGATGTGTGCATTAAACCTGCAGGTGTGCTCATGTGTCTGTGTGACAGACAACACCCTCCCCTATTACAGACCTCTTCTGCTCTAGCCAGATTAGGAGGAGGAAGCCATCATTGGGCTCTCTTTGGTCTGTCCATGCAAATGAGACTAGACAAAAACAGGATTCCACAGCCATACCAACCCTGATTAGCAGGGTGTAGAAACCAGTTGCAGTGCCTGCCAATGTATGAGGAATGTGGGATAATTGTCAGTGTCCTCTTTGCCCCTGCTCCAGGATATCAGATTGCTAAATCATTGTCAATACACCCATCTGATGAAATTAGGCCCGTGGGGTCACCAGAGTTAATATCAGGGATAAATCCAGGAATGCACACTAAGGCCTTGTTTGGCAGAGAAGCAGGGAACCAAGGTCCTTGTCTAAATAGCTCGAACTGATTCTTTGAAAAAAGGCAAGCTAGAGGCACAAGAAAAGTCCTATGACTTCTGGCAAGTTTCTTCATTCAAACTATAGAGATAGTAATAGTAACACCAATATTCAAACTGCTAAGGAAGGGATGAACCTGACACTTCTTTTTGTCTTCTAACTTTTAAAGGAATATTTTCTCTTTTACAATTTGCATCATCTACTTCTTCTCCACCCAACACTATGTTAAAAATTGCATAAATAGCTATTTGGTGCATTACATGTGACACACTCCTATAGCTAAAGAGAAAAGTGCCAGAAAACAAAACAAAAAGGGACTCAAGGAATCACCACATAAAAGTTGTTTATATTTCGCTAATGCTAAGAACACAGACATCCTAAAGAAGAGACAGACAATTAAGAAACAGTTTATTCGATCATAAAAACTAGTGATTTAAACCGCTTAAACAGAAGAGCACACAAATCTAGAAAAATGCAAAACATATTTTATCTCTTACCTGAATTAATCTGAGAACCCCTACGCATTCTCTTTAAGAGATATCAATATTAAAATTGTGCAAAGAAACTGTACCCATAGTGTTTAAACCATAAAACCAATACCTGGTTTGTACATGACAAAAATAAAGTAAAAGCACATAAAATAATACGCAGTTTACAGAATTCAAAGAAAATCAGAGAGACTAAAAGTCAAGTGAAAGAGAAACAAGGATGGACAGGAGACACTCTGTAAAGCAGGACGCTCTGATGATGTCGCCTGCAAGGCTGGGTGTACCCAGCGGCGGTCTGGACCCCGGGCAGTCACTGATAGGAGGGATAAAGTGCGATATCTCTAATAGTCAGCAAATTAATGGGTGCTCTGGTAGAATTGCCAGAATTAAATCCGAGATAGTTTTCAGTAAGAAGTGTTCTCCTTGAGAACATGGCCAGCATATGGTTGAGCCGGGTCCTGATACCAGAACAGTGAAGCTGCCGCTCTTTATTCAGGTTTCTAAATGAGTCCAAGTGGGGCATGCCCCAGTACTTGGCATGTCCAGGGAGGACGAGGTCAGTGGCTCTCATGGAAGTCAGCGAGCCGATGGAGCTTGCCACCGAGCCTTGAGAAGACAGAGAGGAGGAAGACTTCAAACTGGAAGACCTTGACACAGACATCTTTGATACCGGTGAGCCTTCTTTCGACTGGGTTCCCTGAGAGAAGAGAACGTTCTCGTTCACGTCAGTCTGGGTGGTGGCCGACGTGAGCCGAACCACGGTTTGGGAGCTTGCTGCCCTGGTGGCGACTGTGGTTTGGGTCCCAGCACTGGCTGTGGCGGTGCTGGTTTGTGTTCCCGAGTCACTCACGCTCACTGCTCGCATCTCCTTTCCTGGCTCTGTCTGAGTGGCGGCATCGGCCCTCTTTCCACCCTCCGGTTGGTTCTTGAGGCTGTTGAAGTAGTCTTCCTCACCGACGGTGAAGGACTCTGCCCTGCCCTTGGCGGGCGACCCATACTCCAGCTCGGCCTTCTTGGGGGAGCTTGAGAGCCTGGCGAGCCGCAGCCGCAGCAGATTGCCTAGCGTGAGCTCCTTGGACAGTGGTTTCCGGTCAACCAGATGGTCAAACTTGCTGCTGACCGGGAAGTTGGGCAGGAGTTTGGAGCTGATGGGCTTCGATTGCGCATACAGGATTCGGAACTCCAGATCGAAGTGTTCAACCACTTGGCCGGACAGAATGACCAAGTTACTGCTATTTAATTTGCCATCTGTCCATGTAAAACTTAAGGATTAAAAACAAACAGAAGCTGGTAAGAATAAGCAATTGCAGTTTACTTCTTGTCAATCTGAGTACTAAAGCCCAGATATCCTGCTTCCTAAGAGTCACAACCATGATGACGATACCTACCATATAACGTGCATTCAAGCAGCCTAAACACAGATATATGATATATATTGGGTTGTTGGAAAAGTCATGACGTATTTTTTCCTCTGTTTTTCGATGCAAAAATGCATCATGACTTTTCTGACAACCCAACATATAAGTTAAAGTAAAAAGGCCAACTGTTTAACCAACATGCTAAAACCTACCCGTCCCCAGCCTCAGAGTTTTTAAAAACCAGAAAGGGCTTCTGAAATATTTAGGCCAGCGCCCGCATTCTCTCAGTGAGGAAACCAGCCGGTGATTTCACAATGGGAAGCTGGTGGTAGACCTCAGACCGGGCTCAGTCCTTAGGAACTGTAGTGCGGTGCTCCTGCTCCATGCTCCAGCGCTGCCATGTTCACAAAGGGGACAGTATCGATACTCCAATGATGACACTGCCGCTGGAAGCACATTTAGAGCCGATTAGCGGCCATGCGCTCCTGCCTGTCCAGCGTCCTTTCTCCTTCCTCTGGTGACAGAACCCACACTCGCTCTAGCCCAAAAAGCTTTCATTTATGTGCCCTCTCCAATCACAAGAGGGGTGGGCATGTGACCAGGCTGGCCAGATTATCCTATCCCCTTGGGTACAGGGTGGCCATGTGACCCAGCTAGGGCCCAGTAATTTTTCAAGAACTGATACCAGTGCTAAAAGAAAAAAAAGAGTCGCTCTCTTTGGGAGATATTTATTACAGGTCACATAAGAAAGCCTGCATCTTTGCCTTCAAATGGAGAGCGTGACTGAAAATAAAGACCAAGTAGAGAAAAGCAGGACCAGGAGACAGTGTTCTGATAAATGTATGACCTGGAGGTCAAACAGAGCTAAAAACCTTCCTATACTTGCAAGTCACGTGAGTCAATAAATTCCACTTTGCACAAAGTCGTTTGAGTTAGCTTTCTGCACTTGCAGTCACCACTGATAGAAAAGAAGGAAGATTCTTTTGAAAACCCTCCATGAGATCATGTAAACAAGACACGTATCCGACACCAGGATTATACAATGTCCTCAACACATGGATGCTATCTTCATCCTCATCCTCATCCTCAATGACAGCATATTTATTTGTAGAGGATAGTTTTTATATTTTTATATTTTAGAATAGCCAAAACCCATTTGGAGCTGTTTGGCTAATATAGATAAATCCTACTTTGGGTGAAAATCTAGTTTCCTCCTGTTACTTAAAAACTTCTTAGGGCCAGCCGAGTGGCTCAGTTGGTTAAGAACTCGCTCAAGAGTGCGAGCTCTGAGCAACAGTGGTTCTATTCCCAGCCTGAGCTGAGTTTCCGCTGACTGCCAACAGGTGGCAGGATGGCTCAGCTAAAAAAACAAACAAAAAACCCCACAGATTTCTTATGAAAGGAGGTCTCAAGGAAGAGTTTGAATGTTCTCCCGGGCAGTGACAGTGCTATTTGAGAAGAAAGGCATCGAGAGGTTCTTGATCTTACGGCCTCATCGCCCACAAATCTTTGCATGTCCACCTCTACCCAGGGCTGACACATAGTTATCACTTGGATATGTGTGTTTCTTCAAAAGTGAGTTTTTCTTTTTTAAACTCTACAGACACGCCTCATGCGCCCCATCAGGCCACCTAAGGCAGAGGTGGCAAAACACACTACCTTCGAAGCCATGGGAGGAAAAATGGTACGTCTTAACTTCTGGAGATTAGTGTTAACCACGCGTTATCTCCACCCTCTAATTCAACTTCCCTGAACTCTGCCTAAGACATCATTGCCAAAGTGAGACTTCAAAGGTGGGGCCAGAGCACGGATCAGTACTTTCTAGACTAAGCACTAGATTACAAGGCTTGAAGCAAGGGGAAGGATTTAAGTGTAAGCTGAAGGCTTCAGCTCTGCCCTCCACACTGATGCCTGTGCCTATGGCTGCCCTTACTTTCAAGTGAGCAGGGATTGGGGGTGGAGGGAGGTGTCAAAGTCCCCAAGGAACAGGACTCACTGCTAACCGCCAATTCATCCACTGCAGGCCTGGCTGAGGCTTGAATCTAGGACTCGCTCACCATGGGGTCTCCAGGCAAGTTTCAACCCCTACACCTTTGTTTTGTAGACCACAGGGCAGGGGAGATGACCCCCCTACCCCAACTACCTCTCATAGGAGGGGGCTTTGATTAACCTACTCACACACAGATGTATGCATATAAGAACACTTGCCCATAAAGCCTTGTGTTGAGCGGGGGAAAGAAACTTTTGCCTGTAGGTAGCATGCTCCTTCTAAAACATGTAGATTAATAAGCATGGACGGGTGAAAAACTTACCTGTAGGAGCCTGTGGCCACACGAATGCCGTCAATCAATGTGAACTTTTCATGAACCTTCCCAACAATTTTAGTTCCTGACCTTGCATAGTAGGTATTTCCTGTAATAGTCCGAACTGTCATCAGCTGGTGGTGGGAGAGCAGGGAGAAAAATACATGAACAATACGGTGAGCAAATGATTAAGACAAGAGGGCTCAGTTTACAATTCCCAAATAGGCAAACTTACTGGCCAGTGAGGGGCTCCCAGTCCACGAGCCCGATGATTCTCGGGACTCAAGAAATGCTGCTTCGTGCTTAGTCCATCTTCTCATGTGACCTTTTCTTATATATATATATACATATTTTTCCCATTTAGGTAAATTTAATATGTATTTTTTCAATTTTTAAAAATTATTCATTTTTTTTCAGTGACAGTTGACACCTATATGATTTTATGTTAGTTTCAGGTATACAGCATAGTGGTTAGACATTTACATAATTTATGCAGTGATCCTCCCCCGGTTTGGTCTAGTACATCTTATATTTATTCTTGATCCCCTTAGTTCATGTGCTTTAACAGGAGCTCCACACTTTCTGGGAAAACTACACAACGGAATCCAAGAAATGATTTGGAAACAAAATGTGGGATATTAAATCATCAAAGGAAACACGCTAGTGATAAACAACACCTTAACAAAGGCTTAAAGAAGCGAAGTTGGTATTTCTCCTACTCAGCCCATCCTCACTTACCCCACATCATAATGAGGAGAGAGAACAGGAACATAGGACAAGCCTTCTCTAACTCAAGACTTGAGGCAGAAAACATATCATTTGTGGCTTAATCAGCAATGTCACATCTCCTACAAGTAGGTGTTTATCCAAAAGGTACACTGGTAACACACTGTGACTATATACTGTATGTGTATGCATAATTGTCTTTGTAAAATGACACACATTAATGTATATACAATGGTATGCAAAATACTAAGACAAACTGCATTCTTGGAGCAGATCAGCAGCTCAATATCTTTAGAAATCTTACACATTCAAATTAAATGTTTAAGATTTTTGTTTGACTCTCTCATTCATTTTGCAAACAAAGCCCCTACTACGTGCCAAGCCTTGAGACAACAGAGATATAAAGCATGCTTCTTGCTATAAGGCACACTCTTGACCTTCAAGGACTAAAATAGGCAAGAGGAAAGTAATGAATGATTAAAAACTACAGCAAGACTAACATTATCCAGAGAAGTGAAAATCTATGTCCACACAAGAACCTGTACACAAAGACTCATAGCATCTTTATTCATAAGGAAAAGACTGGGAACTATCCTAATGTCCTTCAATGGACATTGAACAAACTATGGTACAATCATAGCACGTGATACTACTCAGCAATAAAAAGGAACAAACTATTGATACACACAACAACTTGGACGGATCTCAAGGGCATTACACAGAGTGGAAAAAAGCCAGTCTCAAAAAGTCACATACTATATATGCTTCCATTTATTTAACATTCTCTAAATGACAGAATGATAGAGACGGGGAACAAATTAGTGGTTGTCAAGGTTAAAGGTGGTGGGGGCAGGGCACAGAAAGGGGGGCGGGTGTGACTATAAAGCTGCAGCATGGGGAGATCTTAGTGGATGGAATGGTTCTGTATGTTGATGGCGGTGCTGGTTACACATATGTAGCCATGTTGGCGGGGGTGGGGGGGCTTCCTAGAGGAGGTGATGATTCCTAAGCAGAGCTTCAAAGGATCAACATATAACAAGCATGAAAAATATCACTGTGGGCAGACTGAGGCGTGATTTTGTGCATCTTTCCCTTTGGCACGGGCCTGAATGTTGCACAGGCCTCTAGGATTGTGGCCAGAGCACTTTGGAGGCCTGCACACAAATGTGTGACCAAGTTCCTAGAGACAAGACATGAATGCCACAGAGCCAGGGCCTGGGGGAGGAAGTCAGCCCCCACTCAGTGAGGGCACCTGCTCAGCAGCACAGATGTGTCCTGGTGAGAGAAGCAACCAGGAGTGGTGCTTCCCTAGGAAGGAGTTAAGACATGATAAAAATTGGCGAGGCCAGACGTACAGACCTCCTTTTGACCCCTCCGACAGAGAACTGGGACACCCATGAAGGCAGCAACCAGCGGTGGGCAGCTGAGTCGACAAACAGCGCTCCTAGACTTCTGCCCAGTAGATGAATCAGAGCTGATCACTTGATGAAAGTTGTGGTCAAAACTATTCTGTGATTTTCCTGCTGCTAACGCACCGCCTTAATTACAGAAAGAGTGCCTTGAAATTAAACACTGACACCTTCAATTTCTTCAGCTCGCTCTATGTAAGCAGTTACAGACTGAACATTTGACTAGAGGACAACACGCTTTTTCATTTTGCATTTTCCTCAAGTCCACCTGATCTCGTTTTTTATCTGTTAGGTCACATGGCTGGCTCGTCTCATTGGGTCTCCACGCTCCAATCCTACTTCCATCATGATTTGCTTTGTAGCACTAGTGACAAGTCAGAAACTACCGAATTGAACCCAGTCCTCTGTTTCATTAGGGAAAAGAACAAATGAGAACTCAGTGTCAAATAGCCAAAATTTTGCAAGCAAACCAAACTGCTTAATAACAAGGTGGTAACTATACAGTAACCCATAGTACCAAAGCCCAAATTCTTCATTCGTTTTGCCAACTGCTTTATTCCCAGTACCTAGACCAGTGTATGGCTCATAGTAGGTGCTCACAGGTGATGAACTAAGTGGATGAATTAAAGTTCTGAAGCTCACAGGTTAAGTTGCTTCATGAAAAAAAAAAAAAAGAATGGTGTAATAAGTATGACAATTTTTCTTGCCGCTTTCCACTAAACAGACAAGGCTAAGTTGTATAACCTTACTCTTAAATACTTAAGTTCAAATTGCTTTCATGCTCAGAGCAAAGGACATTTTAAAAAAATCTAATTTTATAATAATGAGAAATGAGAGGCAGCATGTGACAGTGATGGCAGATGGGGAGTCAAACGCCAGTCCCGCTATTTTCTAGTTGTAGACACTGGGCGCTCTGTCACCATTTTGTGATCTAAAACCTAGGTAAAATGCCACTTACCTGAGAGGGCTGCTGTGAGGAGTAAGTTGCATAACATTTGTCAAGAGCCTAGGTCAGTGCCAAGAAAAGAGCAGGAACTCCATAAACGGTGGCCGTGACGATGGAAATTGGAGCCTACCCAGCACTCTAGTCAAAAGCAGCAGCATTCAAGGCAGTCTCTGGCCGTCAACAGGAGGCAGCGAGACTGGGGGAGGCGGAGGTTTGAATCCTGACTCTCGGTTCTCTTCCGTGAGACCTCAGGCAATCGCTCTGCTCACGGCCTCAGTCCCCTCTCTTCTCGTGGGGGCCCCATTACCAACTACCACGGAGATAGGTCCTATTTCTGACTGTGGTGAAACCAGGAGCAGTGTAATACAAACCTTTTCCTGTTCAGGGTGAACTTTCAGATCCATGCACATATCCAAAAACTGAGAGAGCAGAGCCTGGTCCAGAAGGATGTATACAGCAACTTTCTTTTTCCGACATATTTCCTGCAGGTCTCTGAAGATGTCGATGTCCGTGAAAACATCCATCACCACCGCAATCACCTGTAGGGTTAGAGTGAGACAGAGGACGCGCACGCGGTCAGCTCACAGCATCACCACCCTGCCACTCCTTGTCTGGACCCTGGACCCCATCTCCAAGCTGGGAAAGGCTCCCCATTCTACGACACCCTTCCTTCTTCTGCAGTATTGGTTTTCCCCTCATAGAGGACTCTTCTCCACCTCCGAAGACACTCATCCCACTGTATCCTACAAATCTGGACTTGGCCCAGCTACCCCTCCCAACTGCCTCCCAGCCACAATCCTCAGCACTGGCCAATTTCTCAAAAACACAGATTAATCCACTGCCCTGCCCTCCTATGAACCTGCTCCATTCAACTTCTTTTCCTTCACTAAAACCCGTCTTGCAGGTTAGGTTCGGCTCAGACCAGCAAGCTGTCTGGGCTCTGTGGCTAACACGCCGTCACCTTAGGCACGCTGCTTCCCCACTGGCTTCAGTTTTCTATGCCCGTAAAACATAGAACCTTAGATTCCCTGAGGCCCCTTCTGGGTAGGCCATTCTCCAACCAAATAATGACTTTGATTCTTGTCTGGTTTTTTGTTACAATCGACATAGGGCTTGTCCACCACCAATTCAGGGCTTGAAACCAAGCAAACCAGGCAGGCAGATTCTCCCACTTCTGCCTCATTAATGCTGAGACCACATATTCACAATGTTCTATTTCTTCTGCTGGTCAATGTCCAACTAAATGGCTTCCATAGCACGAGCCTCCCTCTACGCAAGGTGGTCTCTGTAAATCTTTGGTATCTGTCCACCGTGCAAGCCAAATACATGGAAATATGTCCTAAGGGTTCTGCCCTGAAGCTTCACCAGTTTTTTCCTCTCCCCACAAATGTGGCTGTACTCCTGCCTCCCACTACATATTCCATACTCGGCATTAGACTCCAGTGAAGAGCTGCCTCAGCTCTTTGGGAAGATTATGGCTGTTTCAAATGTCTGTTTCCTTAACTGCAAAATAGATTTGTAGTGAGCGCTAAATGACTGTTACATGAAGTACAAGGGACGAATCATCCCTTAAGTACCAGTTCATTGATTCACTTTACCAGTCCAGGATTGGAGCCGTCCAGACAGTTCAGTAGAGGGAGACATCCGCCAGCCCCCAGCTTTCCTTGCTAAAGAGAGGCAGCTCCGGCTGCAAAGCCTCTAATCACACCCTTTGCAGGTTGAAACCGTGGCCCTCAGCGAACTCCTGGCAAGGCCTTGGGGTGTCAAACATCCGGCCTTAGAAACAAGTCTCGGCACACCGAGTCAGAGCCGGGGGTGTTAGCCTCGGAAACTGCTCCCTGAAACCAAGGTTTGGGGCCCTCTCCAGTCTGCAGCTGCAAGGGTTTCTCCCTCCTCCTAACCTCAACAGTAGAAAAACGCTCTTAAAATCACATTAACTTCTTTTGAACGTTAATTTATTTGCAGGTCTAACATCTACAGGAGCAGGGGCATCTGAACAGGACTGATTCAATCTCTGGCCCCAGGGGACTCAGGGCAGTACCTGTCATTACCCCTGAAGTATTAGGGGGTTAAAGGAGAAATGCAGAGACAAAGAGGAAATGTTGCTGTCTTCCTGCAACACCTCCAAGTTTTGTCTGCCAGGAGGAGGGACTTTGAAATGCCAGCTCCTGGGAAGTCATCGCTGAGGGAGTCTGAGAAAACCAATTTATCCCTTTGGCTGCCTCTCTGCTTTCCTCCACTCCCCATTCTTGATGAAGCCCCAGCTGTGAGCTGTTCTTGGTAAAGGGTACAGCAAAATCCACCAGTGGTTTAAAAAATAATAAGTGTTCTTTCTGAATTGGTGGCATCCTCAGCAGTTTATATCCTCCGATGGGTTTTTATACGTACTATTGTGTTCTATCTCCCCAATTCATTCAGGTCATATGACACAGTGGCTAAGAGGCAGAAAAGCATGGCACACAGATCCCAGCTCTGCGGCTTACTAACTGTGTGACCCAGGGCAAACTGCTTAGTGTCTCTGAGCCTCAGTTTTCTCCTCTGGAAGATATGGCTAATAATAGCCATCTACGTCCAAGGGCTGTTGTGAGAATTAAATGTGACAAAGCATGGAAAGGGCTCAGGCATGAAACTGATTTATGCAGCCAGCACCTCTTCACCTCTACTGTGGGCTGAACCCTGTACTAGGCAGAAGGTGGCTACAAAGAATTTAACCTAGACCCGGCTTACCTGCAAAGAGGATATAGGATGCAGGGAAGCAAAATGATACCTACTGTAAGAGACAATCAAATAAGGGGACACTGGGGGCGAGGGGGGCGGGTGCACTACAGGCACTCACTGTTTACCACAGAAGAGCAGAGGAAGGTTCCTGGAGGAGATGGCCTTTGAGCTGAATCACACGTAAGGACAAGATTTGGACAGGGGAGAGGTGAAGGGGAGGCATTCTGGCAGGAAGCCATGTGATGACAGAGGGAGAGGTCGGAAATGATGGGGTATGTACCAGTTTGGCTGGAACGTGGAGTATGCATAAAAGGGAGCAACAGGACATGACTGCGACCTAGATGAATGAGCAAGATCATAGACGGCCTTGAATGCCAATCAGGGACTCAGGAGCACACCGGCAATGGGGGAAAGGAGGTTTAAGAAGAGTATAATGAGTGCCAAGCGATGGCCCCCGTAGGACGGAAGCTGCTGACGCTGGAGGAGAGGTAGGGGTGGGCAGGGAGAGGTAGGCGATCTGGCCCCACCTTCTCGACACACGGCCATGTGCCCAAGCGCCCACAGCACAGCAGGTACTTAGACACTTTTTAGGTTCAGCACCTGTTTAGGAGGACCAACGACAGAAAGAAAAAACAGTCAGTGATAGACCTTTCAACGGTGGAAGCAACGAGGGTTGCAGAGGAAGGAAGGAGCCGTGGGACAGCCAAGCCATCCGCTGCACGGGCTGGAGGGGAGGAGAGGCAGAGGGACATTCAGGTTCACACAAACAGGAAACAGAAAAAGAAACAAACCTGATTTTGAGGCAGCAGTAAAATCCTTCATAAAAGGGTTCTGCACGCACAGGTGTAAGGAGAGTGGAGCTCACGAGAGAAAGCTGGCGGAGCACACAGAAACCTGCTTGCCTCTCGCATTCCCCACTAGTTTCCGATATCCGGTGAGCCCACCGTGAGCCAGGCATGGAGTTGGGCACTGAGGACCCGGCGTCAATCCCTGTCTTCGACCAACCCAGTCTAATGAGGGAGACAGAAGAGCCAGGGGTAACAGTGTGATGGGGCCGATGGATGGGCACCCAGGCTGCCGCTGGAACCAAGACCAAGGAACCCAGCCCACCTGGCCCGGCTCAAGAGGGCTAGAGAACTGCTGGAGGCAGGGGCCTGGGAACGGGGCCCATAATATAAATCAGCTGTGAAACTGACTTTAGATTCACCACTTAATAAAACAGCTGTACAAACGACAGCTTTGTGAGGTAATAAGCGTCTAATCGGCTATTGGTTTCATTGTTTGGTTTTAAAGCCCCAGCCAGCCTTTCCAATGTGTACTGAAAATCACTGAATTTGAACGCTGGTCCCTAACACCCACAGGGCTTTTGGAGAGTGGATGGAGGCGTTTCTTCCCCTATACCTAACATCCCCTCCTCTCTTACTAGAGCAGAGCTCCTAAGACTTCCGTTGGAAGAACAGCCTGCCGGGGAAGCAATCGGCAGGAAGTCCTTCCTCCCTTGCTTCAAGCCCCTACCTCTGCTCCCCATACTCTCCCTCCTTAGCCCCACCAGGCCCCAGGCAACCAAGCCCTGCAGAGTTGAACTAGACCTGCGGCTTCTCAAATCTCTGAGGGGACAGTCTCTTCAGCAAGCTGAGGATTGAGAACCTGGACTTATTCACTAGCCGGCCGAGTGCCTGCTTTGCAAGGCCAGACACATCTCCTAGGTGTTGGGTGTTCACGCTGCAGGTGCTGGGCCCCAGAAATACCCCTGGACTTGGAAGATGGCATAGAAACCAGCCACTTCTCTTCCTTGAGGACTAATGTAGGCATGGACATCAGGGAGGTGGGCATCCCATGGCCATCCCCACCCGGTCACGGTGGGCACCGCCCTGTCCCAGCCCATACTACAGAGCCTACCCACTTTCCTAGAGCTAGGACACTCTACAAGTGGTGACTTTTGAGAGTCTATTCCAGGGTCAGCACCCACCTTCACCTCAGTGCAAATCACTCATGATGCCTGGTGCCCTACTCTCTTGCTGCACGTCTCCAGCCACATCCGGAGTAGCCACAACTCTGTCAAGTCCCACATCATCATCGCAAGTGACAAAACCCCAAACCCCTCTTACCAACTATCCCTTGTGGATTTACACTCAGTGGCCCATGTAGTTGCCGAGTATTCTTGGTCTTTGGGAAGGGCACAAACACGGGTGACGCTACTTTTCACGTAGAACTGGAATCTTTTGTGCATGTCTAGAGATTGCAAAACCCCATTAATTGTTATCCCCAATTCACAGATGAGAAAACTAAAGCTTGGAGAGGTTAGGTAACCAGTTCAAAGGGACAGAGTTAAGCAAATGCAGGAGCTGGAATTTCAACTCAGGCCCATGTGACTCCAGAGCTGTGGCTGGAAGGCCTTAAACCAAATATTATTCCAAACAAGTCTACTAATGTTCAGTCTTCAAAAGACTGAGAGCTTGGACTAAATCCTGAAAGGATCAGTCGAGTATTTCATCAAGTCCATGGGGTCAAGCCCACTCCAGAGGATGCTTACTAATAACACGCAATAATTCACAGAGCGGACATTAAGGAAACTTGGGACCTAGGACACTGGGCACCTTTCCTCTGCAGGTGGTACTGCTGACTAATTCAAAACGGACTAAATCAGGATAGCCTGGAAATCAAAGATGTTATGTGAACAGGCTACAGAATTAGACCTGGACATGGGTCCTGGATCTTCACTTTTAAGCACCACATACCTTCTAGCAAGTTATTTAAGTTGAGCTAGCCTCTAACATATGCAAATAAAACTGCCTATCTTGTAGTGTTTGGGGGTTCAGTC